GTGATCAAAGAGGCTCTGCTCGTTCACGATGATGTGGAGCTGGCTAAGTTGGCGTGGATCATAGCCGATCGGTTGCTGGAGTCGGCGGTGGCAATTGGGGTAAGTCCTGGTGCGTCTCCGAGCCTCGAGTTGGTGAAGAAGAGAATCATCTTCCTGAGGATTGGGGCATTGTGTAGGAGCGCGAGAGTGCCAGAGTCATCGTTCAACGACTTCTGAACTACCCTGGATGTGCTGAACCATAAGACTCAGGATGTGGTGAACCGGCTGCATATCAGCCACGACGCCACTCTGTCAGTTGAGTTCCACACGGATGTGTTTTACCCAACTAAAGGCTGGGCTCGTGGGAGTGATCCACTTGGGATAATCGCCCGTGTTTGGGTGGTTGCAATTGTCTTTTACCTCGTACCGCATCTTGACGATGAAATAGGATTCCGAAAGTGCCATAAAGTTGTTTGCCGAGCTGATGTCTATCCCAGTCGAGAGACTTGGATTGTCCGGATAGAGAGTGACCCTAGCTCGCCCCTCAAGCAGGGAGACCTTATTTTCGGTCCTCTCCTCGATGGCATCCTGGACTACCTTAACAGGTGACAGCAGACCACGGAAGGGCTCGGGGATTTGGGATGTGTCAAGAGTCGTCGCCATGGTTCACCTTCGGTAAATGCGTCAGTGGCTTACCTCCAATTGTATGTAAGGGGGTTGTTTGGTCATGTTTAAACATGGCAGCAGCAACAAGCGTAGTCCTATCCGCGGTGAATAACTCGCCGGCGGTTAGCCGCGGCCTCCTCGAGCCCAACTTTACGATGCGGGTTAAGGACCTGAACAATGCGGGAAAAGCGATTTTCGTCGAAAGTGCCCAGTTTGAGCTCCATTATCTGAATGTCGGGCCTGAAAGCAACAAGCTGTACGTTGTTATTGGTGACAGCGAGACCGCGCTCAGCATCCTCACGGGCACATACACAAAGGTCGGGCACCTCATCAAAGTTATAAACCAGACTCTGGCCAACGCCGGTCATGACGGTATAGTCTTCAGCTACGTGCGGGCTCAGAGCCGAGTTCAGCCGAGTTTATTTTACTGGACAACTCTGTTATTCTGGAATACAGTTTCCTGATAACATCTCCGCTCTTGTTTACTATTTCTTTCAGTCATCTTGAGACGCACAGTTTAGATTTTAAAGTGTTATATAGTTTACACAAAAACAGCAGATGCAAACGCGCAGCGTGTGCACATGAAGTCAATAATTTCCGATTTTTAACTGCCATCCACTGACCAATCAAACTGGCAAAAATCTCGACCACTGCTTGCATTTTTTCACCATTACTCGTGTTTATCAACAGTTGTACGCGTTTGTCGATTATTGCGTGCACTACTCATTGAGCTCTATAATAACTGGAGGGGAAAAGAGGCCTGGACCCCGTGCTCAAAAACATAGCGGTAATGGCGGATTTTGGTTGTTAAAACTTCCACTTTGAGAAAAATTTTTAACATTCGCTCCCTCCCGAATCCGGATCTCTATTACTGCTTATATTAATGACAACCATCGAAAACAACCACGATACCGTAAGCATAAAATATTGAAAGTAATGCTTCAGATTTTGGGAAATAGACACACACATTTAAATGAGGTAATTCTACTGGAAAATAACGTATATTTTGTCAAGTAATGTTTAGCTATATTAAAAATAAATATCAAACGGCATTCTTTACACTGTCAATGTGTTGTTAAGCTTTAATGCATAACCATTAGCATTACTTGTGTTTTTGACTGTTTGTTAACAGCTTGGTGCAACTGTCTTTCTTAAATAGATGGGTAAATCTTAGTTAGAATGTTCAAAAAGGAGTTGGAAAAGTTAGCTTACCCCTACGACTTAAGTCGACTGGAAATATATTATAAGTAGGTATGTAACTTTTTTTGAGTTTTTTTTTGTAGGATTGATTCTGGGTGTCTTATAAGGTATTATGATATTCTGATAAATCTGCTGAGAACTTATGCGGAAAATGTCTTGAACTATGGTTCTGTTTTGAGCCAAGGTATTAGAAACTTGATTGTTATTGACAACCATGGATCTACTACTGAACAGAACTACATTAAAGTTGCTGAAAATACTATTTCTTAAATTAAAGTGCGTCGGTTTCTCTGACATAACACTTTTCTTATTGCTACATGAAGGCAAACCTGTTTAAATAATTATAATGTAGGTGAAAATATTTAGCATGTTGTATAATTGTTATTGTACAGACATTATTTATAATATTATGGCCTTGTGTAATTTATGTCAAGAACTTATTAATTCTCAAAAATGCCAACCTTCTTGCACTACTTTTCTCTTGTGTCCTTACAAATTACAGTTACCTATACTTATTTTTTCTAGGTTCAAACAACTTGAAAACTTTTGAATTTTACATTATGCCTTTGAATTTTTCTTTTTGTCTTTTGGTAAAAATATCAGTGAATGACTTAAAAATCAAGTTTATCTAAAGTAGTATTTTGTACAAAGTAACTATACATAATTGGAAGTCTCATGTTGAAGGCAGATGTGGCTTCTTTTACTACATTGCTACTCTTATTCTTTTAAATGATATCGTAATTCTTCAAAAGACATAAAAAGTTGTTCGCCACCAATTTTTGCTTCTTCCACATTCAACTTCATTGCAACCAATGCATCTTATGTGAATTTTTAATCACCTGGAATTGAAAAACATATGGATTTTGACAGATGATGCACAACTGTATTTAATGTTTCATGCATGTCATCATAAGCTTTTCTTGAGCAAATATTTCAAGGTAGGAGCAAAATTTCGCACATTATTGAACAAAGTAGTTCTTACCTTGATTTTGAAGTACTAACCTGTTTACTACATTGTATAACAAATAATTCATTTAAAGAAACACCAGAGGGCATTTATAAAACTTTTAGCATAAAGCAAACCTTTACACACAATCATGATTGTCCATAATCTGTCAAATTGTCCAGGCTAGCTGTTTAATACAGGTATTTTTTATTGTACGACATGTACCAAAGAGTTCATTAATTAATCCTGCAATGCATTTGATTTCAATACAGCTCTGTCCTTAATATTTGCTTCATATTTTCAGAAAAATATCATGAAAATATCCTCCATTTCAACTCAGTTGAAACGAGGAGTTTTAAGATATGCATATCTCGATAAGAACTGGTTGCTTTGCCTCGTCTAGCAACCGATTAAGTAAAGAACAAATAAGACTGGATAAACATAACTTAAATCATAACTTAGGAGTAAAAACATTCACAAAATATATAACATCACACTTCAAGTATTGACCTAAAACAAAACACTGAACACTTTAAATCGTAAACAATCTTACGTTGCTTAACGGTGTCATGAAATGTTTCCTTTCTGGCCTTACTTCAGCATCCGTATACCAAACAAGTTTGCAGCATGTTTTAAACATAAAATTTCTAAAAGTTTTGTGCTTGGCATTGATTTTTTATTTTATCGAAATTGTGGTTGTCAAATCCGGGTGGGCGAAAAAAATTTTATTTTATGAGCCCGCGTCTTTCCGCTGACTTTGAAAACCAAAATCCGCCATGTTTTTGACCACGCGGCCGCGCGCTATTAATTTATAGTAATTTTGTTGACGTTTCTCCTCCAGGTCTTATAGAACTCAATGGCACTACTCAATAACTGCACGCATTTCTCAAGTGTGGTATTTGCAATTTTCATGAATCAAATAGACTTTTCCCGATAATGGTACGTAAACCTCGACAACTGCATGCACTTCTCGACATACGTACTTATGCTTTCTCGATATACTTTTGTCCAGTTTGGCTTGCCATAAATAAAAATCGAAAACCAAAACGACAACAGTTTTACGGACGCTATTAGACGCGCAGACAAGAAAATAATTGGTTATAACGGTCAGCATCAGGCAAGCCCCCAGCTTATTTTAACACTAAATTGCAACGGAAAACAAAACAGACAGATTTATTACAAATTTTTCGCCCATTAAACACTGTTTTCTTAGTAATTTTCCCTTCAAAAAAGCAGCAGTTCAAACAAGAGCGTTGGCTACGCCAGTCTGCCACTGTCGAATAAAATCTTTGTGAAATGTTTAGTCAAAGTATTGTCTTTAGGGCAAATATCAGCAATTGCCATTTGTAACAAGATGCTGCTGCATTTTCTCCGGTGTGACCCACAAACTCATTGTCACCATTACTCTTATCGTGCTCTTTTACCTCTTGTCTTTAGTTCTTTTCTTGTCTAAGCCAGCTTCAGAGCCTCACATATTGAAATATGTCTGCATGCCCTTTTTGCATCGTTTACATTGACATGCTGACTTACGACATTTTGCTACATAGCCCTTTTTGAAGCCTATAAAGCATCTTTTGCTTTTCTGCGGGAAAGTTATGTGACTAATTATTTTGACTGACATTCCACTGGTTGTAGAAGTATCTCTTCTTCCTAATTCTGGTTTACTCCCCGAAAATTGGCAATTTTCCTGAGCTCTTAGCTCCATTGCCTAATCCAAATTCCACACTTGTCCGCTAAACTGTCGTGCAATGATGATGCTTATTTCATCAGGCAACTTTTTTCAAGTATCGGAATAAAAAGATTCCTATACCCTCTAGAATCAACTTTAAGTGAGCGTAAATTTCTAATACAATTTTCTACGTGCTTGTAAAGTTTTCTTAAATATTTAGTATTGCCGATTGACATATATCTATCAATATGCAAACAAAGAGTCTATGTGAGCGGAAATTAACACCTGCTTATTACCGAAACGATCAAGCAAATGTCAATCGCTTGTTCATAATTTGCCGAATTTACAGATAACCCTGATATTGACGCAACAAAAGTGTTACGTTTCCCTGCTATGGCACCCCTGGATTGCATGCAAATATTATTCTCAATGATTTAAAACACATTCCAATATCATTCACCGCGGTCATCCTTTCTTCTAAAAAGAATTTGTACTACTTTCGTTAAAACTGTTTCTCTGCATAGACACAAGAAGCAAAGCTAAAGCAAGGTTAAAGGTAAGATGTATTTAGCCATGATTGCAACAGCAGTAATCGTAACAATGCATTACTCCAAAAAGTTCTTGCTCATTTCAAAAGGAATTCTTCCAGTTGTATCACAAAATTTTGCTTTTCCAAATCCTTCTTCAAATCCTTTATTGGTGATGTAATGCGGCTGCGGTTTTTCGTCAGTAATCGCTTTTAGGATATACTCGGCCACTTCTGCTGGAGGTTGAGCTTGAGACGCCATTTTTTGAGTGTTAGCATAAAATTTTTCGCCAAGCACTCTCGTTGGGTCGTCCTCTTTCAGTTGCCCGCTGTAGAATTTGAATTCGGCGCCTGTGTCTATAGCGGCTGGTATAACGGATGAAATACTACAAACAAAAAAGAAGATAAACAATATTCAACACCAAAATTTCTTATAGTTTCTTGTTAAGGACGCGTAGTGACGTCAAAAATTACTTGCTACACGTGCATTGACGTGATAACAAAATGTACAATTTTTCAACTACAATTTTTAACAAATGTTCTGCCATAAACGAAAACGACCTAATATTGTTAATACACACAAACAAGGTGTTGCAACTTTGTTTTTATACATAGCTGCTTGACATTATGTAGTTTTGATTAGACCAAAAACAACGAGTAAGGTTTATAATGATTATTTTCTGAATGAGTGTGTTTCAGCCAAAATACCTAGGGAGGAAAAGAGGTGAATGTATATGTCGTTGGAAAATTTTTTCGGTCTCAACTGTAAATATTAAAGTAAAAAAATGCTGTTTCGTTTTAATACTGTTCACCCCATAGAATGTCGCTTTTAACCAGTGAAAGTGTACATTAAGGTGATGAACATTTTAGTATCGATTTTAGAGAGAAAAAAGTGCACATATCAGTCTAATGCTTCTGTTTGTCCAACAAACAATTCCCGTCTGCGAATGGAACTGCTGAGCTGTTGATAACATTTTGTAAGATGGAGGTCACTTGATCCTTCATGCTCATCAAACTCAGCTTATCTCAAGCGCATATTTATGTCAGTAACGAACTTACGCATTGTATTTAAATGCAGAAAAGATTTAGATGTATTTTGGTAGCGTAAATAACGACGCTTATAAATTGTATTTACATCATATTTAAATTGCGTTTACATCATATGTTAATGGTATAGTTCCTAATTCTTATGACTTTGTTTGTATGAAAAATAATAACTCAAAAAGGTAGAGCTCATGCAATATAGCAATCTACCTACTATAAGGACTAAGGAGTGCTTGATGTATGAACATTTACTGCAAGGTTTCGAATCGAAAAAGCTGCGATTCGAACTGGACAATCAATAAAATGTAATATTGGTTCTAGAATTACAAAGTTTTATCATACTAAAGAAAATATAACTTTTTTCATAATTTTGAAAAAATTACAATCCCATGGATAACGTTATCCAGGCTCTGTGCAACCAACCCCAAAAATGAATGTAGAATGCACAATACTCATCAGTGGTGTATCTAGAATAGCATAGCTAGATTGCTAATTCCAGTGGTAGGTCCTTAACATATTCAGTTGTGCCCAACTAATTTGCCTAGAAAATGATTTGATTTTCCAAAGAAATCAGCTAGGCACTACTTAAAATATGAATCACCACCCTAATGATTGTTTTAGATACAGCCCAGTAGTGTAAATAAAAACACATTACAGCAACTAATTTCAAATTCAAAATACTTTAAGAATAATTAATGTTGTTGTTTATAAATGTCTATTGATTATTTAAGACCTACATTAATTTTACCAGTATGATCGGATGTTAAGTAATTTGAATTGGAAATATATTTGTGGTAATGTACTCTGCTGGATTTGCTACTGATCCCATTGTCGTATGTGTTATGTGTTATAAAATTATTAATATAATTTATAGTATTATGTCTTTTAGGCCAAATCATTAATTTTAAATGCACTTGTCGAGTTTTACAAGCATAATAGTAAATAATATTGCCATAATTGTACAGCATGGGTGAAGTTTTAAAACAGTTTTAGTAGTCGTGTGTAGTATAATTATAACTGGGAATAAACAATCATTAAACAATTATTAGGAAATGATGTAGAGACACAAACTAGCCTTAAAAATTCATTAATGGATGACTTAATAAACATACCTACATAGGCTAAAATCAGTGCAAAATATTTTTTAAATGAAATGAATATGTCAATGTTGAGTTTGTAAAGACCTAACCCATGCCATTGATACCAGAATCCATATCCATGATATCCAATCCCTGATTTAGAGGCAATGAAATTGCGTCATTGTTAACATATTTCATATGGTCATTTAGAGAACCATGTACTTTTAATATAGTGTGCTGAAGGAGTTTTCTTCGTAATAAGTTTTTTTATAAATTTATCAATGATTTCCCTGTTGAGCTTGCGTGTGAGTCTTTGGGCCTGTGAGCATTAATTTTCTGGTGACATGTAAAATGCAAAGGCAGCAATCTCCTTGCACAATAGCAACTTCTAGTAACAATCAAACAAAAAGACTGTCCTTCCCGGAATTTGAAGCATATTTTTAGATAGGGCAAAGGAGGAAGGGTGCACTTCCAACCATCGCATTAGTGTGCTAATAAGACTCAATTGAAAAATTCAAAAACGAAGAAGATAAGTAGCCTTCACCCCCTCCCCATATCTGTAGTTGCTGACTTTGCAATTTAAATGCGAGAAGCAAGTCGGCATAGTAATTATTAAGAAACTAACTATAGCCTGTATATCAATTTACATATGCTCAGTGAAAAAATTTGTTTTTGAAATAGTCAAACCCTGCAAAAACAGACTCAATTCGCATTCAATATTTCAGAGTGAAAATGATTCCTGCCAAGTTATGTGAATGAAATTATTGAAAAAACATATAGCTTACTAATTATGCGTGGTTACTTACTGAACATTAAACTTTGCAAACTCAGGCGCCAGGGAATCCGTAATTCCTTCCAAAGCACATTTTGTTGAGGAATACACCGTGATGAACGGAAAAGCATGTAATCCTGAAGCTGAGGAGACGTTAATGATGCGGCCTTTCTTCTTTTTCTTCATAGACGGAACAACAGCACGAATAATGCGTAGTGGGCCAAAGACGTTCGTTTCGTAGAGGCCTGTGATAGTTTCCCAAGGCTGCTCTTCGAAAACACCGCACCAGGCAATAGCAGCGTTGTTCACTAAATATGGATTATTACGCATAATAGATTATTTAAAATTCAGCACCTTTGACAAGGTCAATGTGTTTCATTAACGTGTGTCATTAGTATTTTCTAGATACGTAGACATTAGAATTAAAAAAGTAAAGTCAGGAGAGTGGAATGCGTGATGTCTACATTTTCTTAGTTTTTAGAACTCGATCTAATTTAAAATCACTTTCTCACGCCTACTCACTTTCTACATAGTATCAATTAGCTAGCCATTTATTTGGTCATGGGGGTTGCCCCGTATACGTCACCACCAATCAGCCATTTATTAAATTGTACCAAATTTGTACAAAATTTGTGCTAATGTACAAAAGCCATGCACAGTGAAGAGTTAAAAAGCACTAATGTTGCAGCTAGCGACATCTGCACGTAGTAGTTTGCAATTCTCAAAAAGAGGCCTCTACATATACCTCCTTATACGTATGCTTAAGAATAGGGATGAGCCCTCGATGATTTTTGTGATAGGAGGCAGTGGTATCCTTTGGACCAGATAGCAGTGGCAATTTTACTATGAATCGCTGTTTTTTTTTAGGTGTGCTCCATTGAACACTGTTGAATATTTCTTTCGCTAGATTGTTTGGTAATTTGCATTGAAATCTGCACCAACCTAACTAGAGAGCTCGAAAGGGTGCACATCCCACCATTTCATTTCAACCTTCGATCAACATGTGTTCACATCTCAACAACCATATGATGATGTTTTTAGAGATATGTATGTTATTTTTTATATTTCTCGAGCGATTTTCTGCCATGATTCCGTCTTCATTTTATTGAAATTATTTTTGACTGCATATACATTATGTATTAATAGCTTGAGCAGCATGGGCTAGATTTTAACCCAATGTTTTTGATTTGCTTTTCATCTGCGCTATTTATGTCCACAAGTTATATTAAAAATGATCCTTGGTGTTCAAATTCTCATTATAAAACACTTTTTTGTCATAGGAACCATTTTAAATCCAATTATCTATTTCCACCAAAAAAATTCAATTCTTGTAGGCTGACAACTTTTTCTTCACTGTTCAGTTTTTATGCATCCTGTAGAAAGGCTAATGATGTCAACAGGGTCACTAATGTTTTAAGTTTCACTAATGTCTTCAAGTGTCGCTAATGTGTCAAACAATTCCCTTTTAAACAGTGTCAATATGGATCGTGACTAAGACATCACACGAGTACATACGAGTACATACGAGTGACATACGAGTACATACGACTGACTTACGAGTACATACGAGTGACATACGACTATATACTGGTCACAAATGGGAAATAGCACAATTTCTTCAATAATACATTGATATTTGCATTCACACTTGCTTGTATTTGTCTGGACTCTGGCAACTATTTGATGGATTTAAATACGGAAAAGGTATTTTATTCGCACATTCATTTGTATGTTCCAGTTAAATTTGGTGTCCGTTGTGCGCAATGTCTTAATCTATTAATATAAACAACAACTTTTTTGAAAATAGACATGTTTCGACATCTCATGATGCCATCTTCAGTAAGTGAAAGTGAAATAATAGGTGATACAAGGTTTATATAAAAGTAATATGATACATAAATTACATCAATAAAAAGGAAATAAGATAAATTAATGAGGAGCATCCGAGCGGATTATAAACTAAATATTGTAATTTATTTATTATAATATTGCAGTTTATTAATTGCAACTAAATATTGTAACTGTTATTTAATATTGGAGTTGCCACAAAGTAAACTCCCTTACAAAAAATATTGAGCAGCTATTCTGAGAACTATTAGCACATGTGTACACTATTTGTAATCTTATATTAACATATTAATAAGTTAAAAATCTTGGACAAAAATAACAATTAGATGTATTTGTAATATAATTAATTGATGTGCATTTACTCCTCAAATGTTGCATTCATTTTATTTATTCTACCAAAGAAATATGAGGTAGAATTTACAAATAATTTAAGTCTTTAAGATACTGATTTTGCAGTTCAAAGACTGAATTACATCAGCTATAACTTTAAAAACATTAAAAGTAATCAAAAATCGTATGCATAATATGATACATATACGTAAAAAGACTATCGTTGTTGATACATTTAAACCGTTTAATAGACTAAGACATTGCGCACATCCGACACCAAATTTAACTGGAACATACAAATGAATGTGCGAATAAAATACCTTTTCAGAATTTAAATCCATCAAATAGTTGCCCCAGAGTCCAGACAAAACAAGCAAAAGTGAATGCAAATATCAATGTATTATTGAAGAAATTGTGCTATATCTCATTTGTGACCAGTATATAGTCGTATATATGTCAGTCGTATGTCAGTCGTATGTCAGTCGTATGTCAGTCGTATGTACTCGTATGTACTCGTGTGGTGTTTTAGTCACGATCGTCAATATGCCATTAATAATTCACCATAGGCGGGGAAGGAAGCAAGGCAATGTCGTATTGTCCGAAGCAAAATATATTTACTCTGAACTTTTCACTCTAGTCTCTCATTAAATTGACTGATGTACTCGAGCTCTCGAACATGTGAAAAACCTTGATACGAGTGTAATTGAATCCATTGGCAGCGACCTTACTCGAGTTGTCTAAGATCAATATATGACGTGTAAAACAACATTCTTGTATTTTAGTAGACATTAGTCGGCTAAAATTTAAGACGGTGACTAAATGAGACATGTAGTAGAAAGTACAAACAATTGAGCAAATTACTTGCGGATTCATTTGTGACAATGACTGTGTTCTTGGGGAGTATTGAATTACACTAATTTGCGTTTACGTAAAAAATAATGCCGTTGCTAGGGTTTGATACACCTAAACATTTTAAACACATAGCCGCACTAAAAAATATATGCCATATCTTGCACACACTTTGGTACATGACTAAGTATTATCGTCATGAGAATGCGATCAAATAATTTCTTTCGTAAACTTAAATTTAAGATTAAAATGTCACACAAATTGTCAGAAAAGTAACTGTCGAGAAGACTCATTAAAATCGTACCAACAATATCGATTCTTCCCTCCTTTTCCATAATTTGTTTCACAGCAGCGTTGACAGAATCTTCTGAAGAAACATCCAGTTGGATTACAACAAGATTGCTACAACACGCAGTTTTCTTTACTAATTCATCTTTCTTGCTCGTATTTCTCATTGATGCATAAACTTTAAACTTCCTCTTTGTTTGCTTTGCCAGCATCTCAGCAATGGAAATACCAAGGCCATGGGATGTTCCAGTGACTAGTACAATTTCTTCTGACTTTTTTTTGCTTAAGCTACACATCTCCGCTTTCACAATAGCTATAACCAAAAGTTTGAAGTGAATGTATCATCAATCTGCATTGCAAATTTACATCATTTAATTTTACAGGGAGCAGCTCATCACGTGAAGTTTACAGGCGCAAAGGGGGGCTTTTCTCATTGGCTATAGTCAGTCACAGACTAATTACTCAGTAATATTTCCGGTAAAATTCAAAGGCGTGGCATGTTGAGTGTTTGCCGGAGTTCGTGTGACGTAAAGCAGCCATGTTGGAGTGCAGATGTACATTGTAAGCGTCACAGCATGCAATTAGCACAAATTATTTTCACTAAATGGAATTTTCCCCCATTGTGGCGACGTAATATCGCACACTTTTGTTTACATTTAGAAGTAAAGACGCTGTTAGAATGTCTGTGACACAAAAGAGTAAAATAGAAATTTGAAAGTTGCGTAAACATCTGCGTCTGTGCACTGTCAGTCTTTTCCTCGTATCTCTGAATACTTGTTTTTAATTGTAATAATACACTACCAGCGTGACATTTTGTTGCATAAACACAGCATATGTATATGTACATATATATGCAAAATCATTTTCTTCTTGCATTCTTGATTTCTTTTCTTTAGTACAGTACGCTTAGATCTTGGTCCACGTCCAAAAATAATTAGGTACGGTGCGCAATTATTTTTTTGAAGTGTAAATACAAACCTTGTGAAGAAACGGTACAATATTCTTTCAAGCCTTTGATAATTAATTTGACATGTGGTGACATTTAATTTCCAGAAGTGTTTGTTCAGTCTCAAATATCTGGCAAAATGCTGTAACTTTGGAAAAATAAATCATACCTTTGTATAGCCTACAATATATACTTACTGCAATATATACTTTAACACTTGATCATTTTCTAAAACAAACATAAAAGGCTTAAAAGCCGCTTGGGAGCAAAAAGTGGAAATTGCTGAGTCCGTGTTAAAATTGTATCTATCTTTGCGTTAGGAGAGACTCCCCACTCCGACTCCCCACTCCATACTCCGCGTTTCGCATTATCCACCATGCCCACATATACTGTCAATACTGACATCACTGATACAAACAAACAAGTTTTGTGTTACGTAATGCAGCCAATGAGAATAGCCCCCTTTGTAAGTTTTAACATCACGTGATGAGCTGCTCCCTCTAAAATGTTATAAATTTGCAATACAAATTACCTTGCAATTCACTTCAGACTTTCATTTGTTAAAGAAATTTCGTGGTGTGTAGCTTCCAAAAGAAAATGGGAGAAGAAATTGTATTTATCACTGGAACATCCCATGGCCTTGGTCTTTCGACCGCTGAGATGCTGGCAAAGCAAACAAAGAGGAAATTTAAAGTATATGCATCAATGAGAAATACGAGTAAGAAAGGTGAACTCGTAAAGAAAACTGCGGGTTGTAGCAATCTTATTGTAATCGAGGTGGATGTTTGTTCAGAAGCTTCTGTCAACGCTGCTGTTAAACAAATTCTGGAAAAGGAGGGAAGAATCGATTTTGTTGGTACGATTTCTGTTCTGAGTATTGTTGATAGCTACTTGTCTGACAATCTGCGCATTTTGATCTTCGATTGAAGTTTACGAAAAAAATTTGTTTGATTGTATTCACATGACGATAATATTTAGACATGAACAAAACAACTGCGAGATATGTCATTCATATTTTAACGCAGCACTGTGTTTAAATTGTTTAACTGTGCCGCGCACCCAAACAACAGCATTATCCTTTCGTAAATGCAAATTAGTCTAATTCAATACTACCCAAGCGTACAGTCATTAACTCAGATGAATTTGCATTTATTTTGTTCAACTCTGTACTATTTGCTAATTGTCTTAGGGGCTGTTTACATGATCCCGGCTAGTCAAGATTCAGCGAAGCGTTTAATGATGTTTGAAAAATAATTTACACCGGTCAATTTAAGTAGGTTAAAAGCGTGGAATATTTTGCTTCTGGCGTTACGAATTATAAGCCTGTTGCTTACCACTGATCTGATAATAGACTGGATATAGCTTCTACAGGTAGTAAAAGTGAAGCCAACTTATATATGCGAAATTCACTTCCGGGTACCACGACGAGATACAACTTACTTATAGAAATGTATGGCGGATAACGTTTACAAGCATGGATTTTGGAATATTTAAGACCTTTCGCGACTCCCTACTAACCTTAAAGTATTAGTGATGGATGAAACAGGTTATGTGAATCGATTTGACATCAAAATGATTGCGATAGCTGTAAAATATCGACTTTAGTGTTGATTTAAAAGTTGTACATTCGAGAATATATTTTGTCTCATTGCTAATGCAAGATAGTTCACATCTCGCTTTCCAATTTCTGAGGCATTTATGAGCTAGTGTACGTTTCAATTCTTTATAAAATGAGGTTTTTTTATCATTCTTTCTTTATGTTGAGAGATTGTTCACTTATTATTTATGCTGTAACTTCATTTTTTCATGACCAAAGTACTACTGATGCTTAAACAAGACGAGTTTATTAAGTTTCTTTCACACTTTATCTTTAGTTTCCATTTCTGTAGTTGTTTTTCTCAAATGGTATAGTCGCACTTTGCGCTTAATTTTTTAAAGAAGTATGATTTTCATTGACATTAAACTCTAACAAATGCGTTCTACACACATTAGGACAATTTAGTAAACTGCGTTTGAAACATCAAGGTAATGTAGCCAGCCAGGTATGAATTTGCAGGCCCTTAAAGAGTGCAAATGCTGGGTGCATTGTTTAATCGTTATAATTATCTTGGTTGTGGTTTTTCCCTTAAGCAGATTTAAATTATTAACAGCAACATAAGTCTGTGCCCACAGTTTATAATTATAAGTGTATTCAATTGTATCTAGTATACCTGTTACACATTGTCTTGTGCTAATTCCTTTACAGCCATGAACACTGCTTCTCAGCAACAGTTTATTGTCTACAGCAGTAAATTGGTCAGCTGTTCAATTGTTAAAGTCACATTTTACAAGTGGAATAAAGCTCTTGTCTTTCTTATTACTACAAGACTCGAGACTGATGATCAAACTATTGCTGAAAAGGATTGTAATGTCAACGGCAATTCATATTCATACCATCCCTAACTACATTCATATCTTAAGAATAATTTTAATTTGGAAAAATATTTAAGGCATTAATATTACATTTATAATAATTATGATCTTCTGGAATTTGCTTAGCACTTAGAAGAGGAAAATGAAATATACTGACTGTAAAAAGACAGTAATACCGTACATGGCTGGCTATGTTGCCCAGGTGGTGCAAAAGAATGCACACATGTTGGATGCTACTGTTCACGAAAATCACATTTACTCATTAATTAAGACCATATCTAAATGCTACAGCAAGGTGCGACTAAACCATTTGGGAAAAACAACAACAGAAATGGAAACTAAAGATGAAGTGTGAAAGAAACTAAATAAACTTGTCTTGTTTAAGCATCAGTAGTACTTGGCTCATGAAAAAATGAAGTTACAGCAAAAATAATTTGTCAACAATCTCTCAACTTAAAGAACAAATGTTAAAAAAAGTAACTCGTCTCATTTCTAAAGAATTGAAACGTATACTAGATCATAACTACCTCTGAAATTGGAAAGCGAGCAGTGAACTATCTTGCATTGGCAACGATGGAACAAAATACATTCTCGCATCTACAACTTTTAAACAACACTAACATCGATATTTTACAGCTGTATGAATCATTTTGATGTCAAATCGATTCGCATAACCTGTTTTATCCATGAGTAATACTTAAGGTTAATAAGGAGTGGCGAAAGGTCTTAAATATTCAAAAATCCATGTTTGTAAACCTTATCCGCCGTAATTTCTATAAAGTAAATGGTTCGAACCCGGGAGTATCGTTATTTCATTTGACTCTGAAGATGACTACCGCTAAGGTTGTCGAGACGTAATCGACAACAACAAAAACAGTCCTTCTCAGGACTATACCAACCTGGACGATCTACATTTACAAACATATGCATTTCTATAATAATTTGTATCTCGCCGGTACCCGGAAGTGAATTTTGTACATATAATTAGGCTTCACTTTTGCTATCTGTAGAACCTATATCCACTCTATTATCAGATCAGTGGTTCCTTACCCACCTATGGCGAATTCTTAATGACACTGCAGGTGTCACAATCATAAGAGACTTAATTGAATACTTGAAACATTAGTGAAACTTGAAACAATAGTGAACCTGTTGACATCATTAGCATTTGTACTGGGTGTATAGAAAACTGAACAGTGAAGAAAACGTTGCTAATTTTATCAGCCCGCAGGAATTCAAAAATTTTTTGGTGGAAATAGGTAATTGGATTTCAAATGGAAGAAAATTTGTCGGAAATAACAATGTTTTATAATAAGTATTTTAATGTCAAGAAGAATTTTTAAACTACATCTTGTCCACAAATGTAACACGTACTAAAAAAAGAACAAAAAAAACATTCGTTTAAAAGCTGGCACATGCTTCTGAAGCTATAAATACATGATGTATATACAGTCAAAATCAAAAATGAATTCAATGAACTGAATCATGGCAGAAAATCACTCGAGAGATAAAATATAGCATACATATCTTTATTAAAATTAGCATATGGTTTTTAAAATGTGAACACATTTTGATTCAGGAACTAAGGGATTGGATATGTGCACCCTTTCCAGAGTCCAAGTTAGTTGGATTCAGATATGTATGCACTATGCATAAACTATTTGAGCGCATTTAGATCAATTGACGAGAAGTCAACTGAGAAAGCTAATTTACTTGCAAGAAGTTTGAAAAGATAACCATGCGAAATCTTTGGTTACCGTCTATTCAAAAAGGCGAAAATTCGAAAAAAAATCCGAAAATTTAAAATTGCGAGGATGTGATTTGAAATAGTATCCAGGTCTAAAATCTTAGAGAATACAGATATCACGCAGTGGAACTAACATTCCTGACTTTACTTTTTAAATTTTAATTTCAAAGTGCTAATATAATTCCGTTGACGCACTTTCGTTAAACTTACATGATTGTCAAAGGTGTGAAGTAGCAGATGCTCCATTATCGTTCTAATAATCCATATTTAGTGAACAACGCGGCTGTTGCCTGGTGTGGTCCCCTTGAAGTGCAACCTTGGGAAACTATCACAAACCTATACGAAACAAACTTCTTTGGCCCATTGCGGGTCATCCGTGCTGTTGTTCCGTCTATGAAGAAAAACAAGAAAGGCCGCATCATCAACATCAGCTCAGTTTCAGCATTACATGCTTTTCCGTTCATCACGGTGTATGCCTCAACAAAATGTGCTTTGGAAGGAATTACAGATTCCCTGGCGCCTGAGCTTGCAGTGTTTAATGTTCAGTAAGTAACTACGTAGCATTATTAAGCTGCATGTTGTTATGTACAACATTTCCATTCATAACTTGCAGGAATCACGTTTCACTCTCAAATATTGAATGTGAATTCAGTCTGTTATCGGAGGGTTCGACTATTTAAAAAAGTTATATTTTAGTCTTAGATAAGTTATAATTGCAGCACACAAAATCAATTAATTTCTAGTAACTTTCATCTCTGAAGTTTATGCGCAGACTAGTGTATGAATTGCATCACAACGTGAGGCACTGTGTCTTTAAGTAACTATGTATATTTTGTAGGGAAGGAGGGATGTGCCGTTTTTCTGTCCAACTATTATGTTTCTCACTTCACATTTAGCGTTGAGACCGGAAGAAACTTTCGAACAACATACATGTTCAACAATTTATTTCCCTAGGTGTACCGGCAGAAACGTAACATCAAAAAAATAATCATTATTCAATGTTACTCGTTGCTTCCAGTCCAATAAAAAGTACGGAATCCCAGATGACATTTTTTAAAAGCAAAGTTCCAACACATCGTCTGTGTGTTTTGACAATATTGTCTTTCTTTTCTTTTATGGCAGAACATTTGTCTTTAGATTTGAGCGATTTTACATTTTGTAATCACGTCATTTATGACGTCAATATACACGTCCGTAACAATGAAGAAACCATAAGAAATTTTAGTGTAGCATAGTGTTTGCAAAATCATTGTGTCAAATAAACATTTTCTTCTTTTTCTTTGTAGTATTTCAACCGTTATACCAGGTGCTATAGCAACAGGCGGCGACTTTAAGTTCTACAGTGGAGATTTAAAAGCAGATGATCCAACGAAAGTGCTCGGGGAAAAATTTTTTGCAAACACTCAAAAAATGGCGTCTCAAGCTCAATCTCCCGCAGAAGTGGCCGAGTATATCCTGAAAGCGATGACAGACGAAAAACCGCAGCCGCATTACATCACCAATAAAGGATTTGAAGAAGGATTTGGCAAAGCAAAATTTTGTGATCTAACTGGAAGAATTCCTTTTGAAATGAGCAAGAGCTTTTTAGCATAATTCATTGTTACATGCATTACTGTTGTAATTAGTGCCGAATAAATCTTACATTTAACCTTGCATAAGCCTCGCTCTTTTGTCTGTACAGGGAAACGGTTTTAACAGAAGTAGTGAAAATTCTTTTTAGAAGAAGAGGTTTCGAGTGAATGATATTGAAATGAGTTTGAAATCATCGACAACAAGTTGCATGCAATCCAGGGATGTCGTATCAGGGAAACGTAACATTTTTTCTCTTGCAACGGCAAAAGGATCATCGAAACGCAAAAACGTAGTGGAAACACAAAATGTTACGCCACGTCGTGTGTAGGGCATTAAAAACCACTAAAAAAATTGTTCGGAATCCTTAAAATTATCGATGTTAATACGCCCTATGCACGAACCTTTAGATCGTATTTGGATGAATGATGAGCAATTGAATCAGACAACTAATTTTCCTTCAAGAAGTTTGAAAAGATAACAATGCAGTGTTTGTATGAAGTCAACTTGAAAAGTCCTAAACTTTTTCCACTTGAATTTACATTGAAAGCTAATGTTCTGACAATGTTCACTTTGAAATGCGTGTACATTCGCCATTCGTTTTCCACTGGAATTGAAAAGCCAATTTAGGAAAATCAAATGAAAAGTTTGGTTTTCGTTTTTCAATCAAATGAAAAATCAAAATTGAATTTTGTTTTTCGTTTTCCAGTGATTGACAAAACTGGCATATTGAATCCAATTTGCTTCTCAATTTATAGTACATCGACAAACGATGAATTATAACGTCACAATTCGTATTTATAGCTATTTTGCATGTGCGCTGTGCTTTGTCACCTTTTTGTTCGCGGTTTTTGACTTTTCAGTGTTATATTATTTCTAACGGGAAGCAGCAAGTGTTTAAAGTACCTGTTCTTTGAAACTTACAATGGATGAATTGTTTGATCAAAAGGACGAATGGATGAATGAACGATATGAATGTAGGGACGATTTTTTATCTCATCAGAGGAAACAGCCAAAAACGCAAGGGTGGAAAGAAAAACTTTGCATAAGTCTAATTACGCTCGACTGCCTTTCTATTGTGTTTCATGTAAGTAATATGCCCTGTTATTTGATATTTGTTTTCATTGATAACGAGCTGCTCTCACTATTTATAGCTATGATGGGACTATTTGTCAAGCAGCGGAGTAATGGTTTTCCAGCTCACTATCTTGTCATAACTTACAAATAAACTCTTTCAAAGCCGTGTAGCTAAACCTAACCAAAGATTATCGACGATAATTTATCGTCATATTCTATTGTGTGTTTGTTTTTAATGAAGGATTCAATTGGTTTCGAGAAAGACAATATATTTACATGATAGTCTATTAAAAGTTATCATGTTGTTGAATTTCGAAGATTCGTCCACTATTTTGAACTTTCCATTGAGGTTTCAGTGGGATATTCAAACTCTCTCCTCCACTGTTCAATCTTTTAATGTCCATATCTTATCATGACGTGTTTTTAGTTAAGTTTTGTCAAAAGTCACGGTTTATATATACGGCTGCCGGAATTGCAATCATTTTCTATTTACAAACATGCAAGATAATATTCCACTATAAAGATTTTTTTGTTTTGCTACATAGTTACGTGAAAAGTGTTTTTTTCTTATGATTTTTGTTGCTGGCTTGAACCATGAACGGTATAGTTTGTTGAATGTATATATTTATAGAGACTAATATATATATAGAGAGAGAGAGACGTTCACCGCTTTCGCTTTATGCAAAGCTCACCTTTATAGGTTTGAGTGCTCTGGTGTCTCTACGATACAATCCATACAATGTGTAACCGTACATCCTGTGTCCCAAGTGCAGGAGTCATCATTTAAATATGGTGATAGCCGGGAGGGCACATTGTTATTAACTTTGTATACATAAATATATATATATGTAGTGGTGTTGAGAAAAAATCACAAAACTACAGATTCATCCCGACAAGCCTGTTTCGTGATTGCTCACTCTTCAGGGGATTTAATGAATAAATACTTAAAGTGTTTATATTACGAATTTTAGCCCCCCTTTTTTATTAGCTAAATTGAAAGACCTTCTTTCAGTGATTTTAAATCTGCAATTATAATTGAAATTGGATTGGTGAAAGTGATTTTACGGACGTTCAAAGTCACGATTTTCAGCCTTTTTTTTGCGAACTTTTTGATCGGTATGCTAATGACTTGTGACGTAGAAAGTTGAACACATATATCCACATGGCGTATTCTACTAGTAAACTTAAGAAGAAACGCGGAGGAAAACGCTGTGTTGCTGGCGGACCTACTCAAATCAGTTGCGCCAATGATTCAAAAACCGAAGGAATGTCGATGCATCTGTTTCCTAAAAAAGAAACCAAGCCGCAAAGACATAGAAAATGGATAAATTTTGTGCGTAAACATAGACCGGGTTTTGAGGCTTCCTCTACCTCGTGTCTGTGTTCTGCGCATTTTAAAGATTCTTGTTTTGACTTTAATTTGAGCGTGCAAGTCAAGCTCAAAAGAAGGTTGAAGAAAGATTCTATCCCAACCATTGACGTGGCTGGGATTCCTGAGCCATTAAAGGACGAAATAACCGATCGAAAGCGAAGACAAGTAAGTTTACGCTTGTTTATGTTAATTTTTCGTTTGTCATATGTAAATTTGATATAAGTCTTGTAGATTATTCGACATACTCTCCATAAGCCATCGCTGAAGGAAACATGTTCTCTTGATGAGGAAGTACCATCTACTAGTGATGGAGCTGAGCATGTTGAAGTATGCACTGGAGAAGCAAACGATTCGCCATTGGAAGAAGAACTACATGCAGTTGGTGAAGATATTTGTGAATCCTAGTCTCCATTTAAATCGTGCCATCGTCTTAAGCACGTCCATTCCTATCTCTCAATAGTAGCCCGACGTTTTCAAAGACAGACTCATGAACTAAGGGCCCAAATTTGGCATGCTGTGTTATGCATGATGTTTTCTCAATGCTGCCATCGAATGTCATTTTCTGCAAGGCTTGTCCTATTTCCTTACAGCATCTGTACTCTAATGCGCCTTCTAACAAATCGGTATGACAGCATTGACAATTACACCTGAAACGTGGGAGCATTGTGGTTTATAAAGTAACTTCATGTATATTACAAACAGGAGAAAACAACAACTTACCATTCACCGAGTGGAATTACGCCATCACTTCGTTGTTCTAGTGTCGCAGGGAGAATTCCATCGGGATCATCTGGAGTATGCACTTCATCACCATCTCCTGCGAGCAGTTTAACGTCATATGCGAAGTCGTTTAAATGCTTGAAATAACCCACGGATTTCGAGCTCGAATCAGATACCCATTCAGACATCGAATTCGAATTATCTGAGCACTGATTTGAGGCCATACTTTCCGGAAAACTTGTTTTTTAATATTTTATTGAAAATACTGTCAATATTTGTTTTTAAGACAAGAAGAACGACAACAAAATTACCTCCTATAATATAATATTATATTGACGGAAACAGACGTGCTCAACTATGTTCGTCACAAGTATCAATATGGCGTCGTAAAAAATTCGCAAATAGTACCCGAATTTGGAGGCAAAATTAAGGAACTTATATTTATCTGTTTAAGTCCAGGATATGTCATATTTCTTCAAATAATCCAAATTTTCAATTAAGCTCATAAAAAGGGACTAAAGTTCGTAATATAAGCACTTTAAATGCTTAAAGTATATTTACAAGATGACGGAAGTTAGTGTATTAATAAAGGTGTATAGACCCTTTGCACATGACGTCACAGCTGATGTTCAGCTTCTTCTGGGGGTCAAGTAAGGTGCCGCCATTTATAAATAAGTATTAGGAAGTAAAACTTTCGGTCATCATGGTTCACTTTTGCGCTGTTTTTGCATGCTCGAATCGATCTAATAGAGAAAATAATAGACGGTTTTTTCGCCTACCTGCTGTCAAAAGTAATGTGAATGTGAACAAGAAGCAACTTCAACTTGAAAGGCAAAAGGAATGGCTTTGACGAATTCGCAGGGAAGATCTTACGCCAGAAAAGTTTGCGAATGCTCGTGTGTGTAGCGACCACTTCATATCAGGTTAAAAACACTTGTCTTTATCAGTACCAAGATACTAGTGTTCAGCTAAATGGTTAGCTAAATAAGTGATGTGTTATTTTTGATAATTATCTTTGTATTATCTGCATATATTTTGTATTATATTTTTGTATGGCATTTTGTATTCCATGCAAGGAAGCAGTCAGCAAATGGGATTTTGCCTTAAGTTTCGATCATCCTTTCTTGTAAATGTCATAAAGTAGAATGAATTAATTCCTACAGGCAAACCAGCAGACCTACAAAAGAAAGATGACCCAGACTGGGCACCAAGTCAAAATCTTGGCCACAACAATGTGAAAAAGATAAACACAGAACGATCGTCTCGCTACCAAGGGACAATTGAAAAGACGAGAAGATCTGAAACTGCTAATGCCCTTATAGCAATGTCAAGCGAGCAGCCCAATGAGGTTGTTGATAAAATGGACACCTCTGAACCAAAGGCAAATGAAATGTCAACACAGACTGATTAAGCTGTCAATGAGCTGAGGTTACTTGAAGATGAGGTGGATTTTCTAAGGATGGAAAATTCTGATTTAAAGAAAAAATTATTGCAAAAGGAACTAAATGAGGATGCATTTAAAGATGATGATGAAAAGGTACTCTTCTATACAGGTTTGCCTACCTGGAAGCTTCTTTTGTGCCTTTACAACTTTGTGTCTGGCTTCTTGTCACAATCATCCAGGTGTAGGCTTAGCCCTTTCCAGAGACTCATTCTTACATTAATGAGATGAGACTCAACCTTTCTGGTAAAGACTTAGCCTATAGGTTTGGTGGAATTCATGAGGCAACTGTTTCCAGAATTTTTATTCAAATGATGGATATTCTACATAGCAGGCTTTGTCCACTTATCCATTGGCCTGATCGAGAAGCTTTATTACAAACAATGCCCATGGATTTTCGCAAGAACTGCCCAGCATGTGCTGTGATAATTGATTGTTTTGAGATTTTCATCGACCGTGCATCTAATCCTTTAGCCAGGGCAAAGACATACTCATCATACAAACACCATAACACTGTCAAGTATTTGATAGGAATTACTCCCCAAGGTAGTTTAAGCTTCATATCTGATGGATGGGGTGGTCGTGTCAGTAACAAACACTTAACAGAAGAATGTGGTCTTCTAGAAAAGCTTACCCCAGGGGATGTAATTCTAGCTGACAGAGGGTTTGACATACAAGAATCTGTTGGATTGTATTGTGCTCGTGTAAAGATACCAGCTTTTACAAAAGGAAAAAAGCAATTAAGCGGGATTGAGGTGGAACAAGCTAGGAAGATTGCTAATGTAAGAATCGATGTGGAACGTGTAATTGGCAATATTCGAAAAAAATATGGAATCCTTTCTGCAACTCAACCAATAGACTTTGTTGTTTCAAAAGGAGGAAAGACCACACTTGACAAAATAGTAACAGTCAGCTGTGCTTTGAATAACATGTGTGATTCAGTAGTCCTATTTGAATGAATGTTTATTATTTAGAGGCAATAGTGGATCTAGCGTAGGTCAGAATACGTTGATATAAATATATTTCCCATTTAAAATACTTTACAACTAACATTATTGATGATGTTCTGGTTCTTAAATATTTTTTTGAAATTTCTAACCAGCAACATTGCTGTTAAATTATTTTGAATTTAAAATTAGCTACTATAATGTATTCTGACCTACCCTGGATCTGCTAATGTATGTAGCTTTATACATTGAGTCGTATTCTTTTTTCCTGATGTGTGCGAGAGTAAAATTTCTCAAGCAGCTCGGGAAGGATCCTTTTGATAATAATTTCTCTACTCGAGATACATTTTTTTTCCAAAACTTCTCATCGGGCAAAATTCTTTCTATGTAGAGCATTTTCTCACTCCACACAACAAAATCACAATAGCTGCGTGCACTGCAAAACAATTGAGCTTGGACCTGAAATAAAATGACATTACAACATTACTGTTTAGTACATGTATGCAATATATATTTGTGTGTTGACTCAGCTGACACTGATTACATGGGAGCAGCTTTCCCCTAAACCAGCCATACAATCACAGCGACCAAATAAAATCTTCCCTTCCTTCTCACAGACAACCCATGGAGTCAGTGGCTTCTCTGACATTTTTTGCGAGTGATTTACCTAGATAGCAACAAATGATTGATAAGAAATATGGAGGGTGTTTGAACAAATCATTGCTAATTTTTAAATGTAATGAATTTAGCGTTTCACATTTATCTATTAGAAATAGAAGCAGATATCGCTTATGAAAAGTGAAGATAATTAATGAACACACATACCTTCGCAATCATCAGCCGATTATCGCCAAATTCTTTTAACAAAACTTCTCGAACCCAGCCATTCGCGAAGTTCTGGTAGCACAAAAGACTTTTGTAGTTTATAAGCTCGTCCTGTGAGTATGAGCTTACCGCAAACAATAAATACATGCCCACGTTTATGTAAGAAATATTCGGCCATAATTCCATACAATCTTCCCAGTCGTTTTTTGGTATCTTGTATGGGTCAACAGAATGTATCAATGAAATTTTTGCCTCATATCTCTCCCTACATTCTTTTGACCTTATACTAGCGTAGTAACCGGGCAGGAAACCTTTATGAGTTGGTTTTTTTGCAGGCATTTTACTCAATTGGACCTTTCACACAGTATTGCTTATAGAATAAATCATTGGCTTGCCATAATCATTGAATAGAGAATACAATGCCATTGACCCCCAGAACATAACTTCCGGCGCTGACGTCGCAAAAATGTGACGTTAGTGCAATGGGTCTATAGTCACAAGTTAGATCACGGAAGTTAGCGTATTAATTAAGGTGTATAGTTACAAATCACATAGGAGTGTTTTGGATCAATGGCGACAAAAGGAAACAAGTTTGTTGCGTTTAATTGAGGGATGATTTGGATGGTTGGTAGAGGATGAAGAATTTTTCTTTGAGGCAAAAATTGCATCTTTTACTAGCGCTGTTGTATGGTTTGCTGTGTGCAACGATGTTCCATGAGATGTCGTGGTCAATGTTGCTGTCTTTAAGGGTCCAATGTGCTTACTAAGTTCGGTCGAGTTTCGTAGTTTTTTGTGGCGGAAAGAGGCAGTGTGATTTCTATGTCTAGTCTTAAATTCGTTTTCTATAATTCCAATGTACGTCTCAGTTGTGCTATTGTGCTTGTGTTTCACAGTTGCGTTTCACACTACTTGGTAGACGACGGATGACTGTAGGCAGTTTCTGTTAAGGGGCAGTTTTGTTTTTGTCGGCAGTTACATGTTTTTGTATGTGTCTTTTTGTTCGCGGTGTTGTCGTTAGTTTTGTCTGATGTTCTCAGTATTTGTTTGTTGTGATTGTTGATTATTTGTTCGATATTGTTCATGCAGCAATAGCTGAGTTTGATGGTGTTACGGTTAAATATTTTCCTGAGTTTATGGTCTATTAAGTCTTCTAGAATGTGTATTACAATGTGCCCTTCCAGCTATCACCATAGTAAATTGGTGACTCCTGCACTTGGGACACAGGACGTACAGGAGGTACACAGGACGTATGTATATATATGTACATCGGCTTGCGCAGTTTGAGCGCTCTCGGAACCGTATATCCTGTGTCACAAGGGCAGGAGTTACTATTTTACTATGGTGATAGCCGGGAGGGCACATTGTTGTACACTTTTCATATGTATATTACGCTCGCTGCGCTTGCGCAGTTTGAGCGTTCTCGAATTGTGTAGAGTCTCATAAAGAGACGTTCACCGCTTTCGCTTTAAGCAAAGCTCACCTTTATAGGTTAGAGCACTCTGGTGACTCCACAATACAATCCATGCAATGTGTAACCGTACATCCTGTGTCCCAAGTGCAGGAGTAACCATTTTATTATGGTGATAGCTTGGAGGGCACATTGTTGTACACTTTGTATATATATATATATATATATTGATGAGAAAAAGAAAATACACAAAAACTACAATTTCATCCCGACAAGCCTGTTTCGTGATTTCTCACTCTTCAGGGGATAATATTAAATGAATACAAAGCATGTGCTAGATATATATACAAGAGGAAGTTAGGTTAAAAATTGAGATAGAATTACATAATATATTGAGTGTACGATTACAAATTACATAAAAGTGCTTTGTGTCTATGGCGACAAGAGGAGACAAGTTCGTTACGTTTGTTGAGTGATGATAGTTGTGGTTGGTAGGTGATGAAGAGTTTTTCTTTCAGGCATAGGTTGCATCTTTTGTTGGCGCTGTTGTACGGTTTGCTGTGAGTAATGATGTTCCATGAGATATTGTGAGCGATGTTGTTGTCTTTTAGTGTCCATATGTGTTATATTACGCTCCAATATAAATTTTGTCGAGCACTGTATGATAATCCGCAATGGAGAAACTAAACTTCAACTACAGCATCAAGAACATTCCTCTACCATCACCAAATGAATACCTGCAACGACTCATCGAAAAATCTGAGTCCTTCCTACGCAATATGCGTTGGAAGGCTTATTTCTTTCTCAACCCGAAATCCACCACAGCTTCTAAAGACACCTATGGCTTCAAGAGCACAAAAAACCCTCCACCGATTGACGACTTAAAACAATTCGAAAACGACATGATGAAGATGATCCAATCAGTAAAATTTAAAAAAGTACACAACGCATTTCTCACCGAAATAAAAGACAACACTACTGCCATCAAACACGAAGAAAGGCTACTCATCGCAGCCGACAAAACAACAAACTTCTACAAACTAGACAAGCCAGCATACAACGACCTCCTACAACAAAATATCACGAAATCATACAAGAAAATAAACGTCGACACAATACAAGCCATCCACACCGAAGACAAAAATATCACATCACAACTGGGTATATCTGACAGAGTAGACTCCACCGCTAACAAAGACGCATTCATAACACTCAAAGATCACAAACCGAACTTCGCAAATAAACCCACGTGCCGACTAATCAACCCGACGAAATCTGAAATTGGAAGAATTAGCAAAAAAATACTTGACAGAATAAACAACAATATCATAAAAGCCACTTCGCTGAACCAATGGAAAAACTCGTCATCTGCCATCAAGTGGTTCAACTCCATCAAACACAAACAAAATCACAATTTCATATCTTTCGACATTGTAGACTTCTACCCGTCTATCAACGAAGACCTCTTAAACAAAGCACTTGAATTCGCCTCAACCTACGACAACATCACAAACCAAGAGAAAACATTATCATACATGCCAAGAACTCATACCTCATTCACAACCAACAACCATGGCAAAGAAATACAACTCCACATTCGACGTGACAATGGGCAGCTTCGACGGCGCCGAAACATGCGAACTCGTAGGAAGCTATCTACTCTCACAACTGCAACATCATTACTAACATAGGACTCTATCGCGACGACGGACTAGCCATTACTAAAGCAACACCTAAAGAAACAGAAAAATTAAAAGAGATATGCCGCGTATTTAACAACAACGGATTGCGTATCACTATCGAAGCTAACAAAAAGTCATCAACTTCCTCGACATTACGTTCGATCTAAAGAATTCTTCCCATCGACCTTACACTAAGCTAACACCTCTTTGCAATACATCCACCACGAAAGCAACCATCCTCCAAGCATCACAAAGAACATACCCGATACCATTAACAAACGCCTTTCATCCTTATCATCCGACAGAGCATCATTCGACCAAGCAATCCTCCATACCAAAAGCACTTGACGAAAATGGATATCATTACACGCTGAAATATGACCCAAACGCTACTACGAAACGGAAAAACAGACTTAGAAATAACATACTCTGGTACAACCCACCATACAGCAAGAACGTCAGCACAAACATCGGCTACAAATTCATTTCACTAATTGACAAGCACTTTCCCATAGACCACAAACTCAGAAAACTATTTAACCGCAACACAATTAAATTAAGTTACAGCTGCATGAACAATATGGAACATATTATTAATAACCATAACAAACGCATATTGAGAGAACCTGACAATACTAATGACACCATCAATGACAAAAATACACAAACAAAAACATGCAACTGCCGTCAAAAACAAAACTGCCCACTTAACGGAAACTGCCTACAATCATCTGTCATCTACCAAGCAACTGTTAAACGTTTAGACAATAACACAACTGAGACCTACATCGGACTTACAGAAAACGAATTTAAGACTCGACACAGAAACCATACTGCCTCTTTTCGCCACAAAAAACTAAGAAACTCCACCGAACTCAGCAAACACATATGGACACTAAAAGACAACAACATCGCTCACAATATCTCATGGAACATCATTACTCACAGCAAACCGTACAACAGCGCCAACAAAAGATGCAACCTATGCCTGAAAGAAAAACTCTTCATCACCTACCAACCACAACTATCATCACTCAACAAACGTAACGAACTTGTCTCCTCTTGTCGCCATAGACACAAAGCACTTTTATGTAATT